AATGGCAAAAAAATGGGGAAAAAATCGGGAGAAACGGGACAAAAATGAGGGAAAATGGGAAAAACGGGTCAAAAATGGGGAAAATGAAAAAAAAAAGGGGGGGAAATGGGGCAAAAATGGGGAAAAATGGCCCAAAAACGGGGGGAAAACCCTCTGGATTTTGGGGACCCCCCCCCAGATTCTGGCCCCCCTCCCCCAATTCTGAATCCCACTGCCCCAGTTTTGGACCCCCCCCCAATTTTGAGCCCCTCCCTCCGAATTTCGGGGCCCGTCCCTCCCAATTTGGGGGTCCCTCCCCGGATTTTGGGTCCCCCCGGATTTCGGGGACCCCTCCCCAGTTTGGGGGCCCCCCCACCTGCACGACCCCCCCGGGGTTGACCCCGATCATGACGCAGATGCCGCGGAAGGCCGAGTCCTTCTCCTCGTTATCGCGGATGTTCCGCAGCGACGTGCACCTGGGCGGGGATTGGGGTGAGAAACGGGGGGTTTGGGCAAAGGGAAAACACAATAAAATTTTGAACTAAAATTAAAAAATTACAATTTAAAACTGTAAAACACAATAAAATTTTGAACTAAAATTAAAAAATTACAATTTAAAACTGTAAAACACAATAAAATTTTGAACTAAAATTAAAAAATTACAATTTAAAACTGTAAAACACAATAAAATTTTGAACTAAAATTAAAAAATTACAATTTAAAACTGTAAAACACAATAAAATTTTGAACTAAAATTAAAAAATTACAATTTAAAACTGTAAAACACAATAAAATTTTGAACTAAAATTAAAAAATTACAATTTAAAACTGTAAAACACAATAAAATTTTGAACTAAAATTAAAAAATTACAATTTAAAACTGTAAAACACAATAAAATTTTGAACTAAAATTAAAAAATTACAATTTAAAACTGTAAAACACAATAAAATTTTGAACTAAAATTAAAAAATTACAATTTAAAACTGTAAAACACAATAAAATTTTGAACTAAAATTAAAAAATTACAATTTAAAACTGTAAAACACAATAAAATTTTGAACTAAAATTAAAAAATTACAATTTAAAACTGTAAAACACAATAAAATTTTGAACTAAAATTAAAAAATTACAATTTAAAACTGTAAAACACAATAAAATTTTGAACTAAAATTAAAAAATTACAATTTAAAACTGTAAAACACAATAAAATTTTGAACTAAAATTAAAAAATTACAATTTAAAACTGTAAAACACAATAAAATTTTGAACTAAAATTAAAAAATTACAATTTAAAACTGTAAAACACAATAAAATTTTGAACTAAAATTAAAAAATTACAATTTAAAACTGTAAAACACAATAAAATTTTGAACTAAAATTAAAAAATTACAATTTAAAACTGTAAAACACAATAAAATTTTGAACTAAAATTAAAAAATTACAATTTAAAACTGTAAAACACAATAAAATTTTGAACTAAAATTAAAAAATTACAATTTAAAACTGTAAAACACAATAAAATTTTGAACTAAAATTAAAAAATTACAATTTAAAACTGTAAAACACAATAAAATTTTGAACTAAAATTAAAAAATTACAATTTAAAACTGTAAAACACAATAAAATTTTGAACTAAAATTAAAAAATTACAATTTAAAACTGTAAAACACAATAAAATTTTGAACTAAAATTAAAAAATTACAATTTAAAACTGTAAAACACAATAAAATTTTGAACTAAAATTAAAAAATTACAATTTAAAACTGTAAAACACAATAAAATTTTGAACTAAAATTAAAAAATTACAATTTAAAACTGTAAAACACAATAAAATTTTGAACTAAAATTAAAAAATTACAATTTAAAACTGTAAAACACAATAAAATTTTGAACTAAAATTAAAAAATTACAATTTAAAACTGTAAAACACAATAAAATTTTGAACTAAAATTAAAAAATTACAATTTAAAACTGTAAAACACAATAAAATTTTGAACTAAAATTAAAAAATTACAATTTAAAACTGTAAAACACAATAAAATTTTGAACTAAAATTAAAAAATTACAATTTAAAACTGTAAAACACAATAAAATTTTGAACTAAAATTAAAAAATTACAATTTAAAACTGTAAAACACAATAAAATTTTGAACTAAAATTAAAAAATTACAATTTAAAACTGTAAAACACAATAAAATTTTGAACTAAAATTAAAAAATTACAATTTAAAACTGTAAAACACAATAAAATTTTGAACTAAAATTAAAAAATTACAATTTAAAACTGTAAAACACAATAAAATTTTGAACTAAAATTAAAAAATTACAATTTAAAACTGTAAAACACAATAAAATTTTGAACTAAAATTAAAAAATTACAATTTAAAACTGTAAAACACAATAAAATTTTGAACTAAAATTAAAAAATTACAATTTAAAACTGTAAAACACAATAAAATTTTGAACTAAAATTAAAAAATTACAATTTAAAACTGTAAAACACAATAAAATTTTGAACTAAAATTAAAAAATTACAATTTAAAACTGTAAAACACAATAAAATTTTGAACTAAAATTAAAAAATTACAATTTAAAACTGTAAAACACAATAAAATTTTGAACTAAAATTAAAAAATTACAATTTAAAACTGTAAAACACAATAAAATTTTGAACTAAAATTAAAAAATTACAATTTAAAACTGTAAAACACAATAAAATTTTGAACTAAAATTAAAAAATTACAATTTAAAACTGTAAAACACAATAAAATTTTGAACTAAAATTAAAAAATTACAATTTAAAACTGTAAAACACAATAAAATTTTGAACTAAAATTAAAAAATTACAATTTAAAACTGTAAAACACAATAAAATTTTGAACTAAAATTAAAAAATTACAATTTAAAACTGTAAAACACAATAAAATTTTGAACTAAAATTAAAAAATTACAATTTAAAACTGTAAAACACAATAAAATTTTGAACTAAAATTAAAAAATTACAATTTAAAACTGTAAAACACAATAAAATTTTGAACTAAAATTAAAAAATTACAATTTAAAACTGTAAAACACAATAAAATTTTGAACTAAAATTAAAAAATTACAATTTAAAACTGTAAAACACAATAAAATTTTGAACTAAAATTAAAAAATTACAATTTAAAACTGTAAAACACAATAAAATTTTGAACTAAAATTAAAAAATTACAATTTAAAACTGTAAAACACAATAAAATTTTGAACTAAAATTAAAAAATTACAATTTAAAACTGTAAAACACAATAAAATTTTGAACTAAAATTAAAAAATTACAATTTAAAACTGTAAAACACAATAAAATTTTGAACTAAAATTAAAAAATTACAATTTAAAACTGTAAAACACAATAAAATTTTGAACTAAAATTAAAAAATTACAATTTAAAACTGTAAAACACAATAAAATTTTGAACTAAAATTAAAAAATTACAATTTAAAACTGTAAAACACAATAAAATTTTGAACTAAAATTAAAAAATTACAATTTAAAACTGTAAAACACAATAAAATTTTGAACTAAAATTAAAAAATTACAATTTAAAACTGTAAAACACAATAAAATTTTGAACTAAAATTAAAAAATTACAATTTAAAACTGTAAAACACAATAAAATTTTGAACTAAAATTAAAAAATTACAATTTAAAACTGTAAAACACAATAAAATTTTGAACTAAAATTAAAAAATTACAATTTAAAACTGTAAAACACAATAAAATTTTGAACTAAAATTAAAAAATTACAATTTAAAACTGTAAAACACAATAAAATTTTGAACTAAAATTAAAAAATTACAATTTAAAACTGTAAAACACAATAAAATTTTGAACTAAAATTAAAAAATTACAATTTAAAACTGTAAAACACAATAAAATTTTGAACTAAAATTAAAAAATTACAATTTAAAACTGTAAAACACAATAAAATTTTGAACTAAAATTAAAAAATTACAATTTAAAACTGTAAAACACAATAAAATTTTGAACTAAAATTAAAAAATTACAATTTAAAACTGTAAAACACAATAAAATTTTGAACTAAAATTAAAAAATTACAATTTAAAACTGTAAAACACAATAAAATTTTGAACTAAAATTAAAAAATTACAATTTAAAACTGTAAAACACAATAAAATTTTGAACTAAAATTAAAAAATTACAATTTAAAACTGTAAAACACAATAAAATTTTGAACTAAAATTAAAAAATTACAATTTAAAACTGTAAAACACAATAAAATTTTGAACTATAATTAAAAAATTACAATTTAAAACTGTAAAACACAATAAAATTTTGAACTATAATTAAAAAATTACAATTTAAAATTATAAAACACAATAAAATTTTGAAGTACAATGATATTTTTTAAAAAATAAACCTTTTAAAACAAACCCTGACCCTTTTTCTTCTCCTTCCTCTCCACAAATTCACTCAATATTGCACAATTAAATCAAAGAAATCCGCATTCCAAAAAGCCCCAGCAGTTTTGGGGTCCCCCAGCAGTTTTGGGGTCCCTGTCACTTTTTGGGTCCCCAGCAGGTTTTGGGGTCCCTCTTTCCCCCCTGTCAATTTTGGGGTTCCCAGCCTTGTTCCCCAGCAGTTCCAGGGTCCCTAACAGTCAGTTTTGGGGTCCCTGTCAGTTTTGGGGTCCCTCAGCAGTTTTGGGGTCCCAGTCAGTTTTGGGGTCAGTCAGTTTTGGGGTCCCCAGCAGGTTCTGGGGTCCCATCAGTTTCGGGGTCCCAGTCAGTGAGTTTTGGGGTCCCTCAGATTCGGGGTCCCCAGCAGTTTTGGGGTCCCAGTCTGTCAGGTTTTGGGGTCAGTCAGTTTTGGGGTCCCTCAGTTTCGGGGTCCCCCCCGGGCTCACCGGTGTTCTCCAGCAGCGTTTTGGGGTCCCCCCCAGCCGTGTCCCACATCAGTTTTGGGGTCCCTCAGTTTCGGGGTCCCTATCAGTCAGACCCATCTGCATGCAGATCTCGCCGATGGCCCACGTGGCGTTGTTGCAGACCGAGATGAACTCGGGGTTCAGGTTGGTGCCCAGGATGGGCATGAACTCGGCTGGGGAGGGGGCACAGCTGAGCACAGACCCCCCCCCGTCCCCCAAACCCCGAGATGAACTCGGGGGCGTCCCCCCCAGCCCAGGGGAACCCCAAAACTCACCGATGCAGGGCTTGACGTGCACGAAGCAGGCCTTGGTGAGGTCGCCCAGCAGGGCGAAGGAGCTCTGCCGCACCTCGGGCATCGTGTCCTGCCGGGCACAGCCGGGGCACACCTGAGCTTTTTTGGGGTGGGGGACACCCCGGGGGTTTTGGGGGGCTCAGGGGTGTCCCCCCAGCCCTGTCACCTGCATGCACTGGAAGAGCAGGGTCATGATGTTGGAGCGGGCCACCAGCTGCTCCACGTGGCCGCCCAGCCCCTCGGCCAGGCCGCTCAGCAGGTCCAGGGCCACGATCATGAAATCCTTGTCGGGGGCCTCGTACTGCTCGGGGTGCTGGTTGTACATCTGGGGGGGGGTGACAGTGTCACTGTCACCGTGGGTGTCACCCCCCCTGACCCCCCCCGGAGCGGGGGAGGGGCTCACCATGGCCTGGGCCAGCGTTTTCTGCACCAGGGTGACGCAGCGCTGGTAGACGGGCTCGCAGTAGGGCAGGAAGCCGCTCTGCAGGGCCGTGGCCACCGAGGACAGGCACTGGGGACAGCGGGGGACATCGTGGGGGGGTGGCTCGGGGACGGTCACCCCCCCCGGGGCCATCCCCTGCCCCACCTCCAGCAGAGGGAACAGGTCCTTGTCCTCGTCCTTGAGCTCGTTCCACTTCTGGATCAGCGGCGGCATCAGCTTCTGGATGTACTCCTGGGGACAGGGACACCGGGCTGGGGACACCCCAGAGGGGCTGGGGACATCCCAGAGGGGCTGGGGACAGGGACACTGGGCTGGGGACAGGGGACAGCGGGCTGGGGACAGGGGACACAGGGCTGGGGACACTCCACAGGGACTGGGGACAGGAGGACACCAGGCTGGGGATGGGGGACACAGGGCTGGGGACAGGGGACACCGGGCTGGGGAGACCCCAGAGGGGCTGGGGACACCCTGAGAGGGTTGGGGACATCCCAAAAGAGTTGGGGACACCCAGCAGGGGATGGGGACAGCAGGGAGAGGTTGGGGACAGCAGGGAGGGGTTGGGGACACCAAGCAGGGGTTGGGGACACCCCAGAAGAGTTGGGGACATCCAGCAGGGGATGGGGACAGCCGGGAGGGGTTGGGGACACCAAGTAGGGGTTGGGGACACCAAGCAGGGGCCACCAGCCGTGGCCTGAGGCCCTCAGAGCACAGAGATCCACAGGGGGAATTCGGGATTCGAATGTCTGTGGTCATCACCGGGCTCAGCAGGGGACACCGGGGGCTTGGGGACACCAGGGGACACCGGGAGGGGTTGGGGACACCGTGGGACACCGGGGGCTTGGGGACACTGTGGGACACGGTGAGGATTTGGGGACACCGGGAGGGATTTGGTGACACCAAGGGGGGTTTGGTGACACCAAGGGGGTTTTGGTGACACTGTGGGACACGGTGAGGGTTGGGGGACCCGGGGGGGGGTTTAGTGACACCAAGGGGGGTTTGGGGACCCCGTGGGACACCGTGAGGGTTTGGGGACACGGGGACACACCGGCTGGTTGAGGTGGTGGCCCACGGAGTCGGCCAGCGTGCCGATGGCGTCGTAGAGGATGAGCAGGTTCTTGTGCTGGTACTTGCCGAAGGCGAACACCAGCGTGTCCAGGATGAAGCTCAGGTACGGCACCAGCTCCGTGCACGCCTCCTCCTCCAGCGTGGCGAAGGCGCTGCGGGGCCGCAGCGTCACCGGGACACGGGAATGTCACCGGGACACGGGAATGACACCGGGACACGGGAATGTCACCGGGACACGGGAATGTCACCGGGACACGGGAATGACACCGGGACACGGGAATGTCACCGGGACATGGGAATGACACCGGGACATGGGAATGACACCGGGACACGGCAATGTCACCGGGACACTTCCCCCCCGGTGTCCCCGGTGTCCCACATCCCCCCGGTGTCCCCTGTCCCTGTCCCACCTGCAGGCCGCCTCCTGCACGCGTTTGTTGCCGTCCAGGATGCGCTGCAGCAGCTCGGTCATGAGGGGCTTCAGGTAGAGCTCGGGGGGCTGCGCCACCACCCAGTGCGCGTAGCGGCTGAGCGTCCAGCACGCGATGGAGCGCACCAGCGCCTTGCGGTCCGCCAGGCAGCGGATCAGGTGTGGGATCAGCTCGGGCA